CCCCAAAACCCCAAAACCCCAAAACCCCGCAGATGGGTGCAAAGCTTGAAATAATATATAAAAACACTAAATATGAAAAGCTATGAACTGGCATTATTCAGCATAATACTATTCATAATCTCTAAGCAACTCCAGCTTATTATCTCTAAAAACTTGCAGCAATACATTGTTACTACAATTTTTTAATTTCCAATTATAAAATCCAGACTAATAGGCCGCCTTAAAATAAGCTACAAAGCTACTTAATATTAAAGTTTTAGCAAGCTTTTATGTGTTTTGCTAAATAAAATAAGAAACAATCATTCTTCACGAATTTAAGATCCACCTATTATTTTTATTTCTTCTAGTTGATTCTCTTCAAAGGTTTCCTGAGCCTCGCTTTGCTTTAATTGACAATTCCAAATGTCTACTTGCTTGAGACTCTTCTTTAAATCTGAAGAAGTTGCAAAGCCTTGTATCAAGTTCTTGAACTCGTCAGGGTGGTCTTCCCAATTGCTGTGAAATTTGGCTCCTGTCTTCCATAAACTTATTGTCTGAATTTTGCAATTCTTAAGAGACGTTGAGAAATCAGGAACTGTTGGAATGGACAACTTTCAGTGCCAAATATCTAATGTTTCGACATGTCTGTAAGCTGTCACTAATCTCTTCAGTTGGTAAAGACTAAGACAGAAAAAATCAAGCGTCACTCTTTTTGTTACTTTGGAGCTAATCTTGATAAATGAGTCGAGGTAAGTAGTTCTACTTAGTTGCATTTCAAGCGAAAGAGAAATATATAACTCATTAGTCTTATTAGGCAAAGAGAAGTCTATAAAATTCAGAATATCCTTAATTTCTCTCCTTGCCAATATTCAATAAGACCTCGCTTACATTGAAGAACTGTAGAAATTTAATTTTTTTTGTAAATTTCATATAGTTAGGAGTTTCAAAATTCATTTTGAGCCTAAAGTCTACTAAGCGTTCACCAGATTCTAAACAAGGTAGTCTAACTTTAATTTTTCTTGAAAATGTATTATCGTGAATACAGCAGCATCTCTGATATTGTTGCTTGATACTTTCGACCAGGAGCGACTTCTCTCTACTACACAATTAGAGATATACCAAGACGTCAGATTTATGTCAGAATTTGGGAATTAAATTGGAGGCAAAGTTTTAGAGATGTCTGTATTAAAAATAGTATACAACTCCAATTTTGCGTGATGCAAGAAGCCTAATAGAGCGAGTAAACAAGAAGGATCTCGGCAAGGTAAGGGTGTTAATTTTTCTGGGATTTGAAGTATTATTTTAACATCAGAATATTGCAATGAGGTTTAATTGAAAGAGTGCAAAATTTTAGTATTATTATGAAATTTAGAGTGTCTTTGAGAATAGCAAACTAATTTTAGGTAGCATTGAGATCTTATGGGGATAAAAGAACTGAACTTGCCACTTGAGATCTAAGCTTCTACAATAAGAGAAATTCAAGACCTTAAGGACAGAAATCTATTCGAAAATTCTCTAAATATGATGAATTATTTAAATTTGAGTGTTTATTTTAGAAGAAACTGAAAATTTTATTAAATTTACCTGATCCTCTGGTCAAGCTTTTCCTGAGTAATTTGATCTTTACTTTCCATTTTATTATTATAATTCAATAAAATTTTTTTCAATTTATTTCCAGAGGGCTGGGGTTTTGGGGTTTTGGGGTTTTGGGG